TGTTGGGCCTCTCTATTGGGCCTTGATGATTGGGTGATTAATAGGCTATCCAAAGTCAAGCAATTGGACTAGAATAATTTAATGGGCCTAGGGTGAGGTCCATGTAATGGATTTGGGCATAATTTGAAAAATTATGCCATAAATGGGACATAGTTTGGGCCTCTATAATTATGTGGTATTAGGCCATTAGAATACCAACTATTGGACTGAACTTTTTGGTTAGGCCTTACAATAAGACCATATGGGGGTATGGTCCTAATTTGAAAAAATTGGGCCATATGTTGGGCTTTGATTCCTAGTTGATTTTAGGTCTATGGATTGGGCCTCGGGTTTGCTTAAAGCCAAGCTTGGGGTAATGTAGTAATTATCCAAAGTATGTACTCATGGTTATGTAGTGGAACCCAATTATTAATTGGGTGTTATTTTGGTATTGACAGTTCGAGAATTTGTCATCTAGCAGCTGGGGTTGAGTCTGCGGGACTTCAGCAGTGTGTGATTGTGTCTATGGGATTTCAACAGTGTGAGGTGAGTTACCTTCCAGTAGGGGTGGGTCTAAGGCCACAATGCCAGCCCACCAATAGGGGTAGTGGGCAGATAATTGTCTTTGTGATAATTATCTTGGTATGTTTTCTGATATTCATGAGATATGCTTATGGGATATGCTTATGTGATATGCTTATTTGATATGCTATGTGTGTTAGTGGTAGTAGCAGGGAATAGTTTTTCCCTGACTCGGTCGTTAGGAACGAAGGGTAGGTTAGTACCCTAGATATGCCTAACTGTATGATCATATCCTGTTCTTGTATGATAGTGGTAGGGGGTGAGATAGTCCCCGGTTACCGGTTGAAAGAAACCGATGGCAGATACCGGTTGAAAGATACCGATGGCGGTTACCGTTTGAAAGATACCAATGGCAGTTACCGGTTGAAAGATACCGAAGGGGTATACAGAACCCATGCGATGATTATCTGTCTGTTTATGATATGTTAGTATGTAATCAACATGTTTATGATGTTAGTATGTGATCAATATGTTCATGATATATTATTATGTGATAGTGGTAGGGGTGAAATAGTCCCCGGTTACCGGTTGAAAGATACCGATGACAGTTACCGGTTGAAAGATACTGATGGTATTATGTGGTATGTGGTATGATGGGGGAACTCACTAAGCTTCGTGCTTACGGTTTATAGTTTTGGTTTCAGGTGCTTTGCTTTCAAAGGAAATGAGCCGGCTTGATCGCAGCGCATCACACTATGCTTTCCTCACATGAGATCCTTGGGATTACACTCTGATATGGTTTTATGATTTTATGTTTTATTATTGACACTTTGGTTTCGACACGAGACATTATTATTGACGATTTTATTACATATGGTTTTATATTAACTTATTTAAAAATGAAAATTTTGACCTGTATTTTTGGGATGTTACACACATACACCTTAGGACCACAAACCCACTTCTAGGACCCTTAACTTGCACTACAAACGAATATAGACCTAGAACACTTCATGGATGCAAGCATGGACCTTGAGAACACCATAAAGGCACCTCTCATCACGAGTGTATGGCCGTACACCCCTTGGGCCGCACACCCATGGCCGCACACACCTTTGAGGTGGCCATACACCTCCTTCATGCAAACCTTTAAGGTCCTATCACTTAGTGCAAGTTGTTCCAAGTCCCTAGAGTGGTTCTCCATCACATCTAGTAGTGAAATACCCTCATTTGACTAATTTATGTGTCATTACGTGTTAATTAGGATCATATTGTGTTCAAGGCTTCACTTGAACATCCAACTTTCCATATCGATCCTTCAATCAAACCACTCACTCAAGGTGAGTTCATACCCTTATGCTTTTCCGAGTTTTTCATGTTTTTAGAGGGGGGGGGGGGGGAATACAAGAAAAATTACAAGGAAAGTTGTGCTCAAAGTATATTATTTTGTTTAAAATAATTATATTTTCATAATTATTTTAACATGAAAAACAGTTTTACCAAACGATTAAGAAATCAACTCGTAGAAACAATTTTCAAAACTGGGGTAATGAACTTGTGAATCATGTAAGGAATCATGCAAATCATAAACATGATTTTCAATATTATTACTTGTAAATTCGTTAGTCTAAGTTGGAGACACGTTCTTGGTAACACTCCCACAAAATTAGGGTGTAGGACTAGCACTTATAACCAGAATCTCTTGTAGGGAGAGTGTGACTGTTGTGTATAGATCTATACGAGATCGAGAACCCCGCACCTGGCTGCTAGCTACAATTGGAACGGCAGGTCTACGGGTGACAAAGTCATAAAGGATATTGACTGTTGCGGGCCATATCCAGTCAATTGTGGTTATAAAACTCTCAACCTAGATAGCAGAGATTTATTTGTGTAATAATGAATCACGTGAACTAACCTCAAAGTAATAACCGATTTGATTACTAAAGGGTATTAAAAAGACCTTCATGATTTAGTTCACATGTAGTTATTAGTTTTATTTATGTAATAAGGCTAATATACCTCACTGGGAGTAACCAGGGTTTCTCAAGGAAACTACGTTTAATGATATAAGTTGGTAGATACTTGTACACTTCATTTTAGAACGGATAACCAACAACCTATTTTTAGGGAAAATATAGGATTTTCTTGGGATAACTCCGCCTTTCATAAACAGATTGTTTCACAAGTAATTAACGGATATTCACATTCACTCCATGACACCTTGGATTGTACATATCTTGTATGAATCTGGAAGTCATGGAAGGAATGGGTTTTCAAACACACTTTTCATAAGAAAATATAGGATTTTCTTGAGGAATGATTTTCAAAAGGATCAAGGAAACATTTTCCACCAAAACTAAATGCTTATGAACTCACTAGCTTTATGCTGATACTCTTTCAAACTGCTTGTATTCTCAGGAAATCAGTAGACAGGTACCTCCTGGATTTTGAGAAGCTGGAGCAATAAGAGTCTTATGTTTATATTTTACATACTTTTGATGTATTATAAACAAGTTTTAAACCGATGTAAACATTTTTTCATATATGTATCCATTGTGTTGGTTGTGTTGCTATGATTGCTATCATATACTGGTTGTGATGTTAGACATGACGTCCTCCACTCCGGAATGTTTCCGCCATTCTGGTTTCGGTGTGTGACAAGCTCCAAAGAAATATTTGCCAATCATTGCCTCCATCGATCAATACTTAGATATTGAAAGCATGTCTTTTAAAGGAGTGGGAAGACTCAAAGCATACGAAGAAAGAATCAAAAGCCATGATGAAAAAGATGAAGAGAAAGGACAACAAGAACAAATTTTACTAACTAATGGTGAGCATGATGATAAACAATAGGACGAGGAAGAGGATTCGGTAAAGGTGAAAAAGGACGTGGAAGAGGCTCGGGCTGAGGTGATAAGAGTGGGCTTATATGCTATGATTGTCAAGCATTTGGACAGTTTGCAAATGAGTGTACCAAATGGAAAGACAAAGAGAACGAAGCCAATTTGATAGAAGAGGAAGAACCGACTTTGTTGTGATGAAGAAACATGTCAAAATCATCAAGATTAGGGGGTGAATGTTGGGTAATCTTGATGATGGGTTAAGTCCATTTTGGTTCATGGGTTTAGATAGCTCCGTTATTCACGTTTTTCTTAATAATAAAAGCTTGGTAAAAGCTGTTACCGGGTCTTAGGGAGGTATTTTGAAGGGTAGAAGAAATTAACTAGTTTTTAGGTGAGATAAGTATTATTCTATTGTTTTTGCATGTTCCCACGTGAGTAAGGCTATATATAAGCCTTCTTCACTTTTCACTTTAGCTTCAACAGAGAGTATGGCATCAAGTCTTTTTCTCTTGCAACTTTGAATTAACTTTTTGGTTATTTAGTAGAAAGTCATTTATTTTCTCCGGTAAGGTCACTTTTACTGTGCATTTTGAGAGTCCATTTCTAACAAATTTAGGTTGAAATACGATGGATTGATGTTTTCTCCACATGTAGTCTGAATAAATCTGTACTTCGTTCCTTTAGCATTTCCTAGTTATAATACAATTACCGATAAAAAGACTAAAACATTTCATGGCTACACACTGCTTTAAATTCTCATCTACTTGTTTAAAGCTGTAACATGTCAAACAACATCTGTAAAACTATGAATACACTCAATATGGTATTTGCTTATATATATATATATATATATATATATATATATATATATATATATATATATATATATATATATATATATATATATAAGCAAATACCATATTGAGTGTATTCTCAAAACCTATCTAGGAGCTATCTCAGATACAGAGACAACATTGTCGGAAAAATTCACGAGTGGTCCTTGGGGATGAATGGTACCACGCATGAAAAATGCAGGCTCTGATGGTATTGCAAGCACGAGAGAGAAGCTATTAAGCATATGGACAACCTCAGCCATGGTTGGCCTGTCACTAGAGTTTTCTTGAACGCATAATAATGCAATATGGATAATTCTAGTGATGTCACATAATGAACAAGATCTCGTCGTCAATGTGAGATCTATAATGCTTGACACATTCCCATCTTGTCAACTTTTCCATGCCTAACAAAGATTAACAATTTTTTTTATTAACAATCACACTAGGTAAATTTAGAAAACTCAATTGTAAGGGAAGGTTTTCGTACAGATAATCCAATTTTGTTTGTGTATATGTTTTCTTTTAGAGTTTATTGAATCGTTGGGTACTTACATAGCTGAGAAAGTGTTCCATGTTGTCTCCATTACGAATGTATTGGTTCTTTTGACCTGTTACCATTTCCAGTACCAAAACTCCGAAGCTAAATACATCTGATTTTACTGAAAATTGACCGTGCATGGCATATTCTGGTGCCATATAACCACTATTTGATGCAATAAAAAACCGAGAAAAGGTCAGTAGTTACACTTTAGTTAATTACATGAGAATAATTCAAGTATACTTACTAGGTTCCAACTATTCGATTTGTGTCTCCTTGAGTTTACTCAGGGTTAAACAATCTGGCCATACCAAAATCTGCAATTTTAGGATTCATTTCAATATCTAACAAAATATTACTGGTTTTTAAATCACGATGAATAATCATTAGACGAGAGTCTTCATGAAGGTATAAAAGTCCCTTGGCAACGCCTTTAATAATCTTGTATCGCTTTTCCCAGTCAAGTATTGTATGCTTAGTTGGATCTACAAACACCAACAAGAAGTATATTAGTTGAATCGTTAACAATATTCACTACAAAAAAATCATTTGCTATCCCACATGTGTAAATGGTAACCATCGTTGATTCGATCCTTTTCAACAAACAAAAATAAACTTTTTTGGTTACAAGTATTGTTGAATTTAATTCTTGACAGGTTGTATGGGAAGTATTTTGTTAACAACATAACAATAATTTGTGGAATATCTAGTTTTTTAAGCCTTTTGAGGGATGCAACAAGTTGGGTCGAGAAAGAGATCGCTCTTAAGAACTTACCAAATATAAACTGATCAAGACTTGCATTTGATAGTAACTCATAAATGAGAAGTCGTTCACTTCCTTCTATGCTGAAACCAAGCAGCCTAACCAAATTACGATGCTGAAGCTTGGCGACAAGCAAAACCTCATTCTTAAATTCTATGTCCCCTTGCCCAGAATCCCTTGCTAGCCTCTTAACTGCAATTTCTTGTCCATCTTCAAGTTTACCCTAAAAATCACATACCAATATATATCAACGTTGGAGAAATATGAAAAACTTCTTAACTTTTGTTACATGACTACAAATCACATGTTATTACCTTATAAACAGCTCCAAATCCGCCTTTTCCGAGCTTATTGTCTTCTGAGAAGTCATATGTTGCTGCTTTCATTGTACTAAAGTTGTATTGCAAACATTCAGAAGTGCTAATATCCATGGTTTCGTCTAGTACAACATGAGGAAAAGTTAGAAGTTGTGTTAACTATGAAGTTATACTATAAGCACTAGTGTTATCCCTAATACAATAACTACACCACTAGAGTTCAAGCACAAGGTCGCGACGATAACATTGTGTTGCTTAATTATAACATAAGTCATGACTCTTTTAATTCATGCATGTTCCAAATATGACTTTCAAGTTTCGAATATCATGCTTACTTTCTAGATTTTTTATTGGAGGCTTTTGCTGCTGCTTCTTCTGTATGAAGATACAAATAGATGTAATTACTATGACGACACACACTGTGATAATAATAATAATTATTATTATCACAGTTCGTGTTTTGTTTGTATTTCTACCTGAAAAAAAATAAATAAGATTCTCCTTAGAAATTCATATTTATTAGATAAACGAAAATAAAATATAACTTAAAGTGCATTTTCAACCCGACTTCAAATCAAATATTTTACATCATAATAATGTAAACACATCGTCAAACATTATATGTTCTTGCACAATTTTGATGTAAATAATAACATTAATCCATAATACTTTTGATTATTCGGTATATACATTTCTACTTTAGTTTAATATAATGGTTATAATTTAAATATAATAATTAATATTTTTAACACCAGTAATAAATGATATTAGTTAATAATAATAATAAATTTAGATCTTTATGTATCGAATTCATATAAAAATTAAAAAAAGGTTTTTAAAAATAAAATACAATAATTTAAATGCTAGTATTAAATGTAATAGTTAACGTTTGTGACATGTTAGTTGCTTATTTATGGATAATTTATTTCAACGTAAGGATATGTATTACTTCTTAATATTTCTAAAAATACATATAATATTTCTTTAAAAGTATTTTATAAAGTAATTCTTATTTAATAAATATTGCTTTAAAATCCATAATTAATAACAAGAAAGTCACTATATTATCACAAATTTTTTATTTGATATTCATTTTTTTTCTCAATTATGTCACTATATTTACAATTTTGTTGCAATATTAACTAAATGATCGGTTCTTCTAATAATCATTTTTTTCCGAATTGCAATAAAGTCACTAAGTTTACCAAAATTTTGATTTCGTCACTGAGTTTCAAATTGTAAAAAAGTCACTATATTACCACAAATTTCGATTTAAACACCAAGTTTTTATTTTATTTTATTTTTTTAATTATGTCAATACATTTTCAATTTTGTTGCAATGTCAACCAATTAACCGATTCAAGAGATGATGTTGTGGTTTAGAAGCTCGATTTGTACAACAAATAAATGAAGATCCTTACAAGGTCAATTTAGTGGATCAAACTTACTAAACAGCTCATGGATCGACCTTCTAGGGGTTTTTATTTACTTGTTGTACAAATCGACTTGTAAACTATAATTACATCTCCTGAAAGGGTGAATACATCATTTTTACTGACTTTTAACTGAGTTTGACCACTAGATTGACGTTCAGATGCCACTTGTGAAGAAATACTTTGATGGAAATTAAACATTAAGTATTAAACATTATATTCCAAAGTGTCATCTAAAAGGGTGAGTGCGCCCTTTTCGCTGACTTTTTAGTAAGTTTGAACCACTAGTTCAAGCTAAAAATATATGTGAAATTAGGTTTGATTCAAACCTTATATTTTATACTCAATCCTACCACATAATATTTGATGTAGCATCCACATCATAATATTACCATGTCATTTATTTGGTAACTTGCTAAATTGATGGTAACCGGTTAATTGATTGACATTGTAATATCAATAAATTTGTTGTAATATCAACAAAATTATTGCAATATCTAAAAAAATTTGTTGCAATATCAACCAAAGTTATTGATATTCAACCAATTGATCTGTTACCATAATTCTAGCAGGTTACCAAATAAATGACATGACAATATTGTGATGTGGAAGCCATGTAAGATCTTATATGGTAGGATTCAGTTTAAAATATAGGATTTGAATTGAGCCCAATTTCACATATCTTATTGAGTTAATCTAGTGGTTTAAACTCACTTAAAAGTCATTTTTGAAAAGTGCGTACTCACCCTTTCAGGAGATGCTATTGTGGTTTAGAAGCTCGGTTTGTGCAACAAGTAAATGAAGACCCCTATAAGGTAGATCCAGGAGATGCTTAGTGAGTTTGAACCACTAAATCGACTTTGTAAGGGTCTTCATTTATTAGTTGTACAAATCGAACTTCGAAACCATAATAATATCTCCCGGAAGGGTGACTGTGCCCTTTTCGCTGACTTGTAAGTGAGTTTGAACAAATGGACCTACCTTCATTTATTCGTTGTACAAATTGAGATTCTAAACTACAATAACATCCCCTGAATTGGTGAATTGGTTGGCATTGCAACAAAATTGTAAATTTAATGACATAATTGAGGGAAAAAAATCGGTATTAAACTCGAAAAACAAATTGGTGTCAAAATCAAAATTTTGGTAAACCTAGTGACTATTGGAATTCGGGAAAAGTGGTTACTGAGAGAACAAGGAGAACCGGTCATTTGATTGATATTACAACACAATTTAAAATATAGTAACATAACTGAGGAAAAAATCCGGTGTCTAAATCGAATTTTTATGGTAATATAGCAACTTTCTTGCAATTTACCATAAATAAAAGTAGTCTAAAACAAAATTGATTCCATTCGTAATACCATATTTTAAAAATATAGTCAAATCATTGAACACTACAAAAAATTAGATATACTTTATATATTATATGACATTTTTATAATAATCCCTCATTTACTACCCAATCCGTAGGGATTACAAATTGGACAATCATGTCGTGTTTTTGCTTGACACAACACAATACGACAATGTTTTATATAACATGAACGGACATGACATGACATGATGTCATGTTTTTTTTTAACTAACACGAAAACGAATCAATTTAAAAAAAACAACACAACATGACACGATAAATATAATATAAAGTAATAATTATTTTATTTAATTAATATTTAATCATATATAACACCAAAAACACAACAAACAAATGCCAAATTATGTTAATTTCGTATCGATTTTTAAGCATAAACATGAACACGACACGAGACGAGGTCGTGTTTTTTACAATTGACACAAACGAACACGAACAAGGTCTTGTTCATGTTCGTTCGTTTAAGTTAGCCGAACTACAAACGAACACGAACGGATAAACGAACGAGATTTTCTTGTTCATGTTCGTTCGTTTAACAAATTACTTTGTTCATGTTCGTTCATTTATGTTCGTGAACATGCTAAACGAACATAAACGAACAAATATAAACGAACAAAGATAAAAAAACACAATTGAACATATATGAACATAAACGAACATATAATATAGCAATACAATAAAAAATAATTGAATATAGATGAATATAAATATACTTAAACGAACAAACATAAACGAACGTAAACAAACATCATAAACGAACGTTCACGAACATAAATGAACGAACGAGACCATTGTTCATGTTCGTTCATTTAACTAAACGAACGATAATTTTTGTTCATGTTCGTTCATTTATTAAATAAACGAACATAAACGAACTTCCCGCCGAACAGTTCACGAACGGTTCGCCGAACGTTCAGTTCGTTTACAGCCCTACTTGTGGGGGAGGTGGCGATATGGAATTAGAACAGTTTATCGAAATGATCGTATCGTTTATAGGAAAAACCCATCTTCTATAGGTTAATGAAATCCGACTATAAACTCATCTATTCTAACTTGCCTGTTGATTTAGTCACAGAGAAATGTGTGTGTTGACTGTGAACGAGTAAAAGACAATCTGTCTTTCAAATCATAAACACGTTTCCTGTTAGCCTTGAAGACTTCTCAATTTCTGTATAGTACCATGGTTTGTCAACGGTTTGTTTGGGTAAAAATTTGCAAAAAGTAAGATTATTTTAAAACAATAAATATTACATATCTCTATTATAATACTACAAGAGAAAATTTTGGCACACATGGTCATGGTGCTATATTTTCCCGCTCTTTTCCTTAACAAGTTATAAGGCGTTTAGTACAACCGGTTTATGTATACAAATCATACAAACCCAATTAGTTATAGAATCAATTTTGATATTTTTTTTTCCATTTTTTTCTTCAAATCATTCGAAATCGGAAGGAAAATTAGGAGGAAGCTATATTCAAATTCTTTTCATTAAAAAACTCAGGAACAATAATTCTTTTCATTTCTTTTCAATTTCATTCATTTCACTTCCCTTCCATTGTTAAGTTGAACACAGTAACATGATGTAAATCTTGATCCTCTTCATAGGGAACACGATTCACCTCTTTATAGGGAACACGATTCAGACATTATAATCGGGATTTTTGGGTTGATTAGCAAGATCAAAGGATACAATCAACGTAATTGCTTCCAAAATTAACGACCATCTATGTATTTATACGGTTAAGGCCATACCGCGATATCCAATAATGGGCTTCTCCATTAGCCATGGCTCATTGCAACCAATGTAATATACACATACACATACACACACATAAACAATTCCTTTCACTTTAAAATAATTTTGCAACTTTATGAGTATATACACATAAGATGGCTTGAATTGTATATCTCCGGTTAAAGCGCCAACTCGTGACTCCACCTCCGGCCATACCAGACGTCAACGACTTAACCTCCGTACACTCCTCCAAAAGCCTATTCTTTCCAAGCTTCTATTTTTACACTTTCATCTTCGATTTAGGCCTTTTTAGGTGTATTGAATACATATTTTTGAACTTTCTTGTCTACATGTGTGAGTTTAAATTTTTCATTGAATTTGATTAGATTTCTGTTTCTGGTGCTGATTATATCATAGTCATAAATGAGTTCCTTTCTCCTATTCACCTTCTTTTTTACTATGTTTTACGTTTAGATAGTAATTAGAAATATGGATTCCTAGATATAAAGAATTAGTCAAGTTGCGACTCTTGATCCTCTTAGATACAAATAATTTGTGTCCCTTATCTGA